CCTGCTCCATGTTAATATATAGGAACTTACGAGTGTTCAAACTAAAGAAGAGTAGAAAAATAACCTGCTCCATGTTAATATATAGGAACTTACGAGTGTTCAAACTAAAGAAGAGTAGAAAAATAACCTGCTCCATGTTAATATATAGGAACTTACGAGTGTTCAGTAGTAAAATACCCAATAAATATTAGAATCAGATCGAGTTAAAGGAAAAGTGATCATCAATTCTTATTTGAACGTTCATTTTCTTTTATTAGAAGGTAATCTTTCTGAGCGCTATACAGAATAACTGTGTATAAATAACAATTTAAAATATCTAGTTACTAAAGGAACGTTCGAAACAAATATACGAAGTTAAACATATATTTAAAAAAATACGGAAAAATTTACAGTTGCTGAACTACACCAGTGTCAAGGAGAAACACGTGTTAATATCTCGAGAATCATCACACGTACAAGACTGACGAAAAATCCAAGCGTTTCAGGTTACGAAGAATAATTTGTTTTCTTTTACGCGTTTCTTAGTCACGTAATCGCTCACTCCCCAAACAGTTATTATCTTATTTCCATCAATCCCCCACCCCACCCCTCACATAAAGCCCATTTGCATCTCTTAAAACAAATCTACCGTTCCGAAGATCTTTTAAGGAAACCTTACTTTGTTGAAAATATTTCCTTGTTACAATAGATTTTGATTAGCAATACCTATTTGACTAGGAAATATTTCCTAGTCAAAGAGATAATATCTAAAAAATATATTGTTCCAAACTAGATCTACAAAGGAAACCTTACTTTGTTGAAATATTTCCTAATCAAACAGATTTTTACAAATCATAAAGTCCAATGTTTGATAGATAACAGTTAATGGATGGTTTACATTAAAATAGGGTAGGGGCTGGCTTGTTTACAAGGGCCATTAACTCAGCTATAAGTGAAGTTTTAAACTATGACTAGACAGTGGTGAGGGCCAGGATAAACTAAATGTAAAAAAAAAAAAGATGTAGAGAAACGTTTAGCATAAGAAATGAGTATAGAAGTAGTTATAAGGATAGGCTTAATTGTTACTATTGTAATGTGAAGTTATAAGAAATAAAATAGATGACTTTAGAGCACTGGTAGGAATGGAGGATTTTGATATAATGGGAATAACTAAAACATGGTTAAGTGTTTGATTTTAAGGACAGAAATTTCTTTAAAATACAGGATTACAGGCTATTTAATAGGAATAAAGTACTAAAGACATGGGAGGAGTGGCTTTATATGTAAAATGTGAGTTACATCCTGTTGAAGTTGAGGATATCAAAGTTATAGCAAAGAGACAATCCGTTTGGTTTTCTATTAGCAGATATAAAGGGAAAAAGCTTTTAGTGGGAATTTGTTACAGACCTCCAGACATACTGATGGAATTAGTGATAAACTTTACAGTGAAGTTAAGATTTCAGCTATTAATGAAATTAGTGGTTTTAATTTCAGGCACATAGATTGGGAAATTCTAGAGTCAAACCATAAGGGAGAAAGTTTTTGGAAACTGTTCAAGATGGTTTTCTTCACCAATTAGTCAAGGAACCAAC